TGCTACAATAAGACCCATTCGCCTCTACGTCATGGGCAAAGTTCAGGAATGGACTACGAGTCGCTCCCAAAGCCTACGGGCCACACGACTGCTTAAGACCCATTCGCCTCTACAGCATGGGCAAAGTTCAGGACTAGACAACAAGTCGCTCCCAAATCCTACGGGCCATGCTACTGCTTAAGACCCAGTCACCTCTACGGCATGGGCAAAGTTCAGGAGTAGACTATGAGTCGCTCCCCGAAGCCTAAGGGCCACACTGTTGCTTAAGACCCAGTCGCCTCTACGGCATGGGCAAAGTTCAGGAGTAGACTATGAGTCGCTCCCCAAAGCCTAAGGGCCACACTGTTGCTTAAGACCCAGTCGCCTCTACGGCATGGGCAAAGTTCAGGAGTAGACTACGAGTCGCTCCCAAAGCCTACGGGCCACACTACTGCTTAAGACCCAATCGCCTCTACGACATGGGCAACACTACTGCATAAGACCCAGCCGCCTCGTCGGCATGGGCAAAGTCAAGGAGAGTGAACTACAAGTCGCTCCCAGAATCTAAGCGCTAAAGTACCAAACAGGCAGAAACCTCGGCGCCTCACGGGCAACTCGCTTCCAAGCAGCTCCCAGAGCCTAAGAAATTGAATCAGCGCCTACGAGCTCGTCGAATTACGAGCCAAAAGGAGAAATCTACTCTCTTCACCGAGTTACTTTCAACTCGGGAGTGGGGACAAATGATGAGGGCTGATTTGGCCCTCTAATTACATTGTGACACCTGGCACATCATGCCAACTAAGTACAACCTATTGACAGCTAGACAGCTCGAGCTCGCCATGGGCAGTTAGCCACAGACAGCTCACCCTCTTATAGCCCGGCAAGTTAGACATCTCGACACTTCACAGGCAGCTCGCCACCATGTAGCAAGCAGCTCACCACCATGCAACACAGCAGGCAGCTCGCCACTAGGCAGCTCGCCATCTTGTAGCCTGGCACCTCAGAACAACTAGGTGACACCCAGGACCACTTTGGAAACAACTTGCCTTTGCTAAGTTGATGGTGTCCCACAGGCGCGACCTAGTGACCTGGCCCCAGCGCGACCTGGCCCTGGCACGATCTGGCAGCCTGGCCCTGGCGTGACTTGGCCCTAGCACGAGCTGGCAGCCTGGCCCTGGCGCAACCTGGCCCTAGCACGAGCTGGCAGCCCGGCCCTAGCATGAGCTAGCAGCTTGGCCCTGGCACGACCTAGCCCTGGCACGAGTTGGCGGCCTGACATAGGCACCAACCTGACAATCTCGAGGAACACACCTCCGTACCCCGCATTTTACGGGATTGTGACTTGTAACGGCTATATTATCTCACCCACTCCCCGAGTAAGGCGAAAATGGGCAACCTTACCAGTTGGTGGCTTTATCCCCACCTAACACGAAAGCAAGTCCCATCACAGCGGGAATCCAAAAACTGCTCCACCTAATCCACGAGGACTCCAGTATATAAAGACCTCACCCCCCAGGGGCGAAGGCAGAAAAAATGAGGCAACAAAGGAATGCAAAATGATAGAAAAAGATATGGGTAATCTCTGCTCTCTAGCTCTCTCATTCTCTTATATCATCTTCAAGCTCTCTACTACTATACTGTGCTAACTTAGCCATCGGAGTGACCCCGTCGGGTAAGCCACCTCAGGTCCTCTAACATTTGGTTCCTTGCAGGCCTCTAAAAGTGCGACAAAGCTCATCAAAGTGGCTCACCACCAGGTAGCTCATCAAGAGAGCTCGCAACCAGGGAGCTCCACTTCAACCTCTGAGTCATAGGCCACTTGGAGCAGACGAGATGACGAGGTACTCAGCCAAAAAATTGACACATCACGAAAAAATGATACGTGACCGGAAACGGTTACATCAACTCTACTCCTCCCTGGCCTCTTCATCACCTCTTGGCCAGTTGTAGGCTCCTGTGGTCCTGCCTCTTTGAAGTGGACGGGTAATATGACAGCACACACACACACACACATATATATTAAAGAAAGGCTTTTAGGCTATAGTCCCCACCATTCAAACACGTGGATTTTTCAAATTTAGACATATAGCATTTTCTGAGAAATTACTATTAAAGCCCATACCCCACTACCACCATTCAGACAAATGAACTTCTCATTTTCTAGAAAGCTAGATATGTGGCAATGCTGAGAAATTCCTACTAAAGCTCATAACCCACTACCAGGCTACAACTCTCCTCCATTTAGACACATAACATTTTCATTTTTCTAGAAAGCTAGACATGTGGCATTTTTTGAGATGTTACTACTAAAGCCCACAACCCACTACCACCATTTTCAATCCATTCCTAAAAAAATGCATAAAATGCAAAAGTGGTTATTCACAACCACTTCTGCCTACATTCTATCAATCTCAATTAATCATTAATCCTCTACTTATCATAACAAACTATCCATATTCTAATAATTATTGAAAAGCTATTTTTTGAAATAAGTATTTCTTGAAATTTTAATAATTATTTAAAATATTAATAAATATAAATTTAACAGTATTGATTCCATAATGTAAATTTAACATTACAGATTCACCGTACTTAGTACGGGGTCATTCACTAGTTCTATAGAAAAGCACCTTCTTAGAATATCTCAGGTTTCCACCTGGAGTTTAGCTCCATGTTTCTTCCGAAATGTGCTTTCTCATGATCTTTGTAATCATTCTTCATTTTCTTAATGGAATTTTGGGAAGCTCACAAATGCATAGCCAATGCACCATCACCAAGCAACGACTACCGGGAGAATCTTCCTCCTCACCGAATTTTTCTACACCTCCCTCCTCATCCCAGATTTCTTCCCCAAAGGCCTCAAGAAACTTTCTCATATTCTTCTCCTTTCTCTTTCTTTTAACTTTCACCTCCTACTCTCCTAGGAAGAACAGGCCCAAAGTCTTGCCAACTTTCACCTCCTTATCAATTAGAGTCTTCGAGTCCACACTTCCTGTCTTCATTTCCTTTTCCTCTGGCACCAGCATACCAGAGGCCTCATCTATATCAGTTTCAACCCTGCAAGTAGTCCCTGAACAATCACCCTTTTTGGACTACTCCCATTGAGGAGCCCCCAGATTGATCATACTATCAACCCCTCTGGAAGACGAGACCAAATCAGCCCCCCACAACGTCCCACGGCACACCCACAGCACATCCCTGCCGTGTATTGGAAACATCTCCCAATGATGACATCATCATTCCTGGTATTATCATCGGGAGATTCCCAATACATGGTGGGGATGTGCTGTGGGATGTTGTGGGGAGTAGTCTTGTGGGGGGCTGATTTGAACTCGGAAGACAGGATGTTCCAAGCTAGGATTCACAGGACTCAGTTTTAAATTTTACTCCCCTTCTTTTATGGATTCTTTTATACTTGTTGGTCGGCCCTGAATCCACTAGACCATCTTTCAGCCTTGAAAACGCCTTAGTGACATGAATTACATTGAGATTGCTTGAAGCTCTGGGTTTCTTAGGAAACCCTCCAGGCATCACCACTTCCGGCCAAATTAGGTTCTTTGCCCTTTCTGTCCAGGTCAATTCCCAATCTTCCAACAATCACTTTGGAAACCAAATAATCGGAACCATTAAGTCCTTCACCTTCTCTCCCTCACCTTCATCAAAGCTGCCTCCTTTTTCCTCACCGCCCATCTCCCAGTTCTTGATCTGTCCACGAATGTTTATGATTCATTTATGATTGATTTAGTTAAATATGTACGTAGTTTGTCTTCAGATCATTGAAATTACCTTTTACAAGAAGCATTCTACGTAGGAACAAGGTACCTAGAGGAAAAACCATGGGAACCTAGTTACCTTGATGATCTCTTCAGTAGAATGTATAATCTACTGAGATACATTTGTTTCTCAAAATTCATGGAGTCAATAGAATAGTTTATCTGTTTCTGTTATAATTCGTATATTTATCTTTGCTGTAACTTATCCTATCATAGTTATCTGTAACTGATCTCTCTATATATATATCAATACAAATTGACCTCTTGAGAAGAGAGGAATTACAGCAGCTTCAGAAACCTTGTTCTTAAATCTTTCAGTTTCAATTCCATATCTATTCTACATTATGCTCTTGAGAATGTAAAACCAAGTTCCTTTTTTATCTTGAAATTGGAATTGATTGCTATTTTACAGTATATCTAGATAACTGTTTAGCAATATAGTTGACTAATTCCTGAAATCACAAGACTATTTTAAAACAGAAGCTTTTGAGGCCAAAGTAACTGATCAACATGTTGAACCAGGTAGGAAAACCAAACATACCTCCATGGAGCCATTCATCAATTTGGCCGATATGGGCATTTCTTCTCGATGTATTACTTGTTACACCATCATTCTTTCTTTGCAGCCACTTCCATGTAAATTCAAACTGTAACATGATCCTCCCCCCTTTACCACAAACAGAGGTAATAGTTAAGAACAATGAGATAACAAATACTAAATTTTATTAAAAAAAAAGAATCTAAACAGAAATTAGACACAATATAGTCGCCTATAGCAATGGAATCCCATTGAAATGAAAAACATTTCAACTTAAAGGTTTCCCGGTGAGGAGGAATATGTTGGGTAGGTTTGGATTAGGATCAGAAGACTGAAACGCAAGTCAAATTAGGAAATGCACAACTCAAATATCATACTGATTTTAGAGCTTATCAAAAATTGCGAACCCCATTCAGAAAAAAAAAAATGGCAGATTTTCCTTAGCCCTCACTTAAGAAACAGGTTCGGAACGTTGGGTTAATTATTTCGTGTCTGTTTGTCCTATGAAGTCAAATTAGCTAGTGAAATGCCCAACCAAAACCATGAATCAAATTTAAGGTGGATGAATTTTGAACTTACCCCACGACAAGAAACTGCTCCACAATCTAAATTAACACAAAACTCGAGAGGCAGCTAGAAGCCTACATTTGCCAAATTAAAATCATTTAAATTGTTCCACAAGACCAGAACATTCAAACGAAATGATAGGGGAATTAAAACAAATTACTATGAATTTTCTATAAAGATATAGTCTTTAACTGCTGTTGCTTGTGGGCTCGAGATTTCTTCTTCTCCCCACCAAAATTTTCACTTTATACAATTCAATCATCTGTTAACAATTGGCAATCTTATGTTAAATGACTATCAAGAAAAACAAAAGACGGTAATTTCATCATCTCCATTGCCATCCAAAACCAGAAAACAAAAGCAAAAAAGGAACTTTTTTCTGATAACGTTTCTTTATTTACAGTTTTCAGCTTTTCCTCAAAAGTTGAAAGTTAAAACCGCGGGCTCCAAGCAAAGATCTCACAAGGTAAAGGGATTTGGAGGAGGGTGTATGACAGGGGTCTTCGACATGGTCATGTTACCAGTGATGACATGAGGTGCAGCGCTATCTTCCACAACTACAGGATTAACCTGCACCACCCTCTCCGGCACAACCTTCTCTCCCTCCACCTTCGCCAACACCTCGAAGTGCATCCTCACCGATTCTGGCTTCGTCCTCCATTCCGGAAACCCCTCCCAGTTCATCCCTTCCTCCCCTCCTTCCTTCAACGGCTTCTCCACTCTAAACCCAATCTTCAGAAACGTCTGCGCCGATGCATCCGCCTTCAACAACCTAAACGACCCTTCCTGATTCGCCTTCTCACCCAGCACAGAGTACAGTAGTGCCTCGAACCCCATCAGGTTTCGGTTCGACCCATTCACCGACGCCACCGGCCACATTGTGGTGAATCGTTCAGGTGTCAGAAGCGTCGTCACCTCACCTGCTTCAACGGCTCCGGTCGTCTTGCCTCTCGACGGCGACGATAACTCCACGAGTCCCGGTGCGAGGCGCTTCAGCTTGAGCTTCCCATCCGATTCGGACGATGAGGAAGAGGAAGTGAGGGATGATGGACCAACTATCCTCAGGGAGACTAAAGGAGCCCCTTCGGCTTGGGTGCGTGAAGCATCGCGGAGACGATGGGCAAGACTTAAAAGGGAAGAGGCAAAGCTCCCGTGGGTTCGGTTCAAGGGGAGTGGGAGATCGAGCGGATGGCGCAGGCTGACGGACCTGGCGCCTTTAACCGTCACCACAGCGCCTTCCGCTAGAACGACCTTCTTCAGCACACCGGCGTCTACGTCATGCTGCAGAACAAGGAAAATTCAGAACGAATTCTAAACAAAACAAAACCCTAATCAGGAACTGATCGAGAAAGTAAAACAAAGGGAAGCTCACAGGTAACGAAAGTCTCATGTCCTTGGCATCTTGGATCCAGAGCTCCATGGGGCCAGCCAACTGAAAGGGGGACAAAACAGGGGAAACATGATCCTGCGACCCGCGAGTATCTACTAAGCTAGTCTGCCAACCGGAAACCGAGGGATCCTCGGTCCGGAAGATGGGCAGATCCACGTATTCCCATCGGTTGACATCTTCGAGAAACTTAAAAGGGAGAACTTTCTTGTCGATCTCAATATCGAACTCATAAGCAACAGAATGCCCGACCAAGGCATCCTTGATGTCGAAACCAGAAATCTTGAAGCCATCAGCTTGAAACCCTAATCCCTTAATGATGGCATCCTTCAAATCCTGAATATATAAATTATAAATTCAGAAAAAAAATTAACAAAAAAGAACAAAAGAAACAGCATTGGTAAAATTACTTACAGAAATAGCCTTTGAGGGATTCAAATTTTTTGCTGTCGATATCTGTGCATTGGACGATCCAATCGTAAGGAGGAGAAGAAATCCCATCAGACAGAGGGATCGAAGCGCCATTAGATAAGAGGGATTCCAAATTCCCAATTCCGAAAGAAAAAAACAGAAAGGAGAGTAAGATATAATATATGAGCGAAGATCGATTGATCGTTCACAGAGAGAAAGAAAGAATTATGGGAAAGAAGGAACGAAGAGAAAAAAACCTTTTAAAATCAGGTTTAGTTTTTGGATCTCGTCTCGTTGTACTCGTAAAGGAAGGAGTGGTGTGGTATGGATGGTTCTAGATGGACGATGATTGTTGGATAGAACAGAGATGCTGACGTGGAGTTAGTTCGACCAATGAGAAGCAACAAAATGATGCGAGCATGCCTACGATTGGTCTGGCTAACTGGCTTCGTTGGTGTGAATGGTTAACGTGGAACTAATGTTTGTCTTTGGAATGTTTTCAGTTTTACACTGCTCACGCGTATCAAATCAGAACGCGGGAAAAATAGAGCCCACGTGTAAATTACTTTATAAATAAGCCGTTG